GAGTCTGGAAGCTGATTACCATTAACTGGGCAAAATCGAGTTTTTTACTCTTATTTGTCGTCTCATAGTCCTAATAGCTCTAGCGTGGAAAGTCAACTGGACCAGCATTTTTTTACATTTGTTTGCAGATGTTGCTCACTCTGTTGGATCCGGTAGCCCTGGGGTGGAGTCTGAATATTCCAGGAGATAACATTGCTGGCTCATGGACCCCACATGAGGCAGTGAGAATTTTATAGCATACTCTCAGGATTTCTTTGATCATGTATATCTATACATTTTGAAAAGATGAGCTTGTATTCAAAATATATCGGTTATATTTTATACCCATGTGTATTTAAAAAAGTGATCATGAGCTCCACAGCAGCACTATTTTAAGTACCACTGATGCTGATAACACACACCCATTATGTGAATGTTCAGTGCATACTTGTGTTACCTGGGCATAAGAAAATCGCCTGGGTCTGGGAACTGATTCCATCTTGCATAGCCAATTGAACTGACTGTCAAAAACAGACTTTGTTCTGTAGTTTGTATCTATGTTGTACCCAAAGACTAATATTTGGAAGCATGCAAAGCAATCATCACCCTTCTATCACTATCTCAAACTCCTATCACTGAAAAGGATTCGATTTCCTTGATATACAAAGAACTTATATGAAACAACAATAATAACAACAGGAGTAAACTCTGTGTATTCCAAAGTTTAGTTTAAATTGAAAAAGAAATACTTATAGTTCACACATTATTGACAGCACAAGGCGGAGGGGCAAAGATATAAGTATCTGCAATAAACAAATATCTTTAAATCAAAAATCAACCTTTTAAAAAAAATCAGTCTTGATCAGAAAATTGTAAATTAGAACTGCAATGAGGTAGTTTTATCGTTAGAATGGCAAACACTTAAAAAAGTCAAGTATTGGTGAAGCTGATGGGAAATGTTGTGTCTTCACATATCACCAATTGGTCGTCCATCAGGGCAGACACCAAGGTCATTCAAAAAACTGGAGCAGGTGAAATGGCTCAGGGGTAAAGGTGCTTGTCACTGAGCCTGACGCCCTGACCTCAGTCCCATAGGTAGTGGAAGGAGAGGGCCAATTCTGGAAAGCTATTCTCTGACCTGTGACCTACAGACATGTGCCATGGCATGAGCGCGCGCGCGCGTGCACATACACACACACACAATAAATAAATAAAGCGATGCCATCTTTTAATTAGCTTTTTGAAGAATGTTGGAAAAATTCTAATGGTATAATGTTATTTTACAAAAGATAGCATGGGCTGGAGAGATGGCTCAGAGGTTAAGAACACTAACTGTTCTTCCAGAGGTCCTGGGTTCAATTCCCAGCACCCACATGGTGGCTCACAACCATCTGTAATGAGATTTGGCTCCCTCTTCTGGCCTGAAGGGATACATGCAAACAGAACACTGTATACATAATAAATAAATAAATCTTTAAAACAAAAAAAATAGCATGATACCTGAAAAAGAAACAAACAATAGCAATTACTACTTCTGGGAGGTAATGTAACATAACAGGTGATCCTAATGTTCTTTTTATTTCCAAGTCATTTTACTTATTTTTTAGTTTTATATACCTGTTAGAATTTTAAGCATGACAAGCTTTTGGAATTTAGATTGAGCTTCAGAGAGGAAGTAAGTAATAAGAGCCTAAAGTATACTTGGCTTCATTGTTCACTTACACTTTTGGAAGGCGTTTTATCTTTATTTTACATATATGAATATTTGCATGTGGTGCACCTGTACTGTGCACATGCCTAATGCCAAATGAGGCCAGAAGAGGACACTCCTGGAATCAGAGTTGCAGATAGTTGTGAGGAATGTGTGTACTGGGAACCGAACCCAGGACTTCTGCAAGCACAGCAAGAGCTCTTAACTATTGAGTCATCTCTCCAGTCCTAAATTGCAGATTTAAAGGTTGGTATTTAAAGAGAGTTAAGTCCTGGCTTACCTGTACTCTGGGAAATAAAATTGACATAGTAATTTCTCATGATCTGAAGTAATAATGTTCTATAAAACTATCATGATCCCTTAATTAACAAGTCCTAACCCACTGGGTGCTAATGGCAAGCTAAGAGTGGTCACCTTCAAGTCTCTGGCAACAATGTTTTTGGCAGCGCATCGATGTATGCTTCTATTACCGTGGTTCTCACCCTTCCTAATGCTGAAACCCTTTAATACAGTTCCTCATGGTGTGCTGACACCCCAACCATAAGATTATTTTCGTTGCTATTTCATAACTGTAATTTCATAACTGTTATGAATCGTAATGTAAAGGTTTGTGTTTTCCAATGGTCTTATGTGACTCCTGTGAAAGGGTCGTTCAACTCTCAAGAGGTCATGGCCCACAGGATGGGAATCAGTGCTCCATTATAAGTGTATTTCTGTTTAAAGACCCCCCCATACACTATATATATTGTTCACTGATGTTGATGAACTCTCAACCAGCAGTACCAAGTCATACCTAAAAGAAGTTAACTGAATACACATGTTTTCTCTGTGAACAAGGCACATTAACAGCCTTCTGTGAAGGAATACTAGAAAGAAAGCTGTACAATGCTCAGGAACCATTTTGAATGGTTACCAAAAAGCAGGAAAATATAAGAAATGTACCACTAAGGTTGTTACGAGGACGCTGGCCTACGTTATGAGCTGAAGCAACCAAGAGGGCGGCATCACCTTGTTACATATCTCAGTTGGCAAGAGACACAATGGGTGGCTCTAATACCCTGAATTATCATCAAAGCTCTACAAGCATTGATTTGGCAATTGGCAATGGGTTCTCCAAGCAGGCAAACTCGTAAATATAAAGTCGACAAATAATAAGGATAAAATGTAATTACAGTGTAATTGAAGGGAAAATTCTTAATCACAAGGAAAGGACCAAACATCAATATTCTACAGCTAAGCTTCTTCAACAAGTTCTTTAAAGCTGAATACCATAGGACTTACAAAGCAGTCCCCTTCCAGGACACTTCACATGATGGGAACAGGTGCAATGTGTTCAGCAGTCATTTCGTTTAATATAGTCATTGTCTGTAACAAGAGCCAGTTACTGACTACCTCTACACAGTGAACGCAGAGAAGTGTGGGCTAATGCAAGCCGAAACAATTTATAATCCTCTTGGGCACAGTAAGGGGAGGTTGAGGTAATTCTCAGCTCTAATGAAGGACAGCTGCTCAAGGCCACCAGCAATGTATACATGTATGTTCAACTGGTACAAGCATCATGTCATTGGGACCAAATGAAGAAGAAAGTGCATCCTCTTGGGATTGTTCGGAAAACATGATGGAGATACTAATACGTGAGAAGAGCTTAAAGGATTTGTAAGATGGCAACCAGAGTTATGGAGTTCTGGGCAAAGGATTGGAATCAAATACAGGTACAGAGAAGGTGAAAGCATGGCTCCCATCATTGCTGTGAAGTAAGACAGTATAGCCAATACACTCGCAGAGGGCAGAACCTGAAGGCCAAGGGATAAATGAAGGAGCACAGATCTAAGTAGCCTCAGCTTGTTTCTGGAAGCTTCTTGGTTAAATCTTTCCATGGTTACAGTGATCAAATCTTTCCCTGTTTTTACTTCCTTAACTAGACTACCTACGGAAGCAAGCAGGGCTCAAGCCTCATTCTGTCTTCTACTAACACTCCCCAACACACAGCACACCCCCAACATATGAAAGATCAGCCTCCACCAGCACTTGCTTGTTATAAGCGCTGGGTAAATATTTATTCATCTGATAATTGCTTTTACAAATACACTAAGCCTTTAACAAGCCCTGCTCTGTTTACCGCGAATACAGGTGGTTCTCATGGAGAAATTGCTAAACTTTGTAAAGTCTCCAAGGTTTCCCAGAATGTATGTGTGTGTGGAGAATCCGAGCTGTAGAAAATGCCACAAGATTACACCACACATCTTTATTTCCTATTGAATTAAAACAAAAAGAAGTAGTGTCCACTAGAATCTCCAAATTTTGTAATTAAATTTATAAATATGTGAGTATGTCCATAAAATCTGAAATTTTAGACTGTTAAATTTTGGCTCCCTAATTCTAATTCCTTAGAACTTAATATAATACTCACTGAGTTCTTAGATTATGTGTTGGTGCTTATAATATTATGTTACACAAAGTTAAACATTTCTGTATACTCTTGGGGAAAAAAAGATTTTCTTTACAAAATTATTTAATCATGCCTGAGTTTCTTCTGGCTCCAATAAATTGTTTCAATTGCATATTTTTAAGAAGCTGATTCTTGCTCTTTAATAACTGCTCAGACAGAAATGTCAACAGGACACAAATTGAATAATATTAAGAATGAGCCGGGGGCGGGCGGGGGGGAGTAAAGGACACCACAAGAAAACCCACAGAATCAACTAACCTGGGCTCGTAGGAATTCAGAGACTGAACCGCCAACCAGGGAGCCTGCATGGGACTGACCTAGGCCCTCTGCATATATGTGACAGCTGTGTAGCTTGGTCCTCTTGTGGGACTCCTAACAGTGGGAGCAGGGGCTGTCTCTAGCTCTTTTGACAGCTTTTGGGACCCTTTTCCTCATACCAGGTCACCTTGCCCAGCCTTAATACAACAGGAGGTGCCTAGTCTTATGTCAACTTGATATGGCATGCTTTGTTGATATTCATGGGAGACCTGCCCTTTTCTGATTAGAAATGGAGAAGGAGTGGATGGGGTGGGAAGGCAGAGGGGAGGTGGTGGGGAGCGAATTGGAGGAGAGGAGGGAGGGGAAACTTCGGTCGGGATGTAAAATAAATTAATAAATGTAATTAATAAAAATTGTTTTAAAGTTAATATTTAAATTTGAGTATATTTCATTCAAAACCGCTATAACAGCTACATAGCACCCTATGGCAAGAAACTTACAAATCAATATTTGCCTCTATTCACTGCTTCTAATTAAATTTCTATTACAAATAAAAGTCAAATTTTGAAAGATACATGTTTGCAGTCAAATCGTGGTACTTACTGTTTCAAAACCTCGGTGTGGGTGATCAGGAAACCCTCCCGGCCTTCCTCCTTTAAACTCATCAAACAGTAAAAATGGATCCAGATTTTTCAACTGGAATAATAATAAAATTCGGCATGTTAGACATGGCTTTTAAGTCATACTACAGGGGTACATTCACAGACATGTCTAACAAAACTCACTGAAGAGTGCACAGCCAATGAGCAACCTTCTAAAATGAAAATTACATTCAGAAGGAAACAATGCATGTACATAAGGATTCATCAATTACACTGGAATTGACATTGTAAGAGAAGAGTGAAGCGTGAGCACTTCACGATTATCTATGATATAGTCAAATAGGTCATGATCCGTCTGTAACAGATTCTTAGCATCATGGGGTAGGCGTCTACAAAACCAGTATCTGCAATGCTTTATGAGTGCTCTCAAGGAAAACAATTTCACACATATAAGAACGGGTGACATCAGGGAGTCAGCTACCAGGGAAGTGGCTCCTGAGCTGAGTCTTGAAATACATGTTGGAGTTAATCAAGGGAAGGATATGAAGATTTCATCCTCATGACATAACTGACTTCCAAAGACTCTGCCTGCTAATACCATCAACTTGAAGGATGGGATTGCAAGCTTTGATTTGGGGAAGGATACATACATTTACACCATATCAGTATTATTTGTATTCTCTGCACACTGGCTCCCTCCAGTCACCAATCTATGCCATATGAAGAAAGCCAGTAAAGAGCTATAGAATCCAGGTAGCTGATCAAGGCAAGAATCAGAGGAATGAAGTGTTCAACTGGCCAGAAGACGAGAGGCATGTATAAGAGACACTCCAATAAACAAGAGTATGTTTGCATTAGACTGTTGCACCAAAGTGCTACTTGCAGGCCTGAAAATTAGTTCTTACTAATCTCTAAGCATTTGCAGTAGCTTCAGCAACATGTTCAATAAACATGTGCCATCTGTCCACAAGAACAGACTTCTATGAGAACTCTAATTTTCTAAAATGTTTTAATTAGGTTCCCAATTCAATCACTCTCTATTTTCCTACATGTTTCGTTTCCTTCAAATACTTCCAAATCCTATAGCTGCCAAATTTAAATAGTAGCTTCCAAGATTGTTCTTTCGGCATCTTTAGAACTCCAAACAAAACATGTGGCCACCAGCCCTCAGGCCTGTAGCAACCCCATAATAAAGCCCCAACAGCCCAGTAAGGTTTGGCAATCCGGAAGTGCTGGAAGTGCCTGTCAGAAATGGCAGGCCTTTGGAGACAGGATGGATGCTGTGATTTTCAAATGGCATTCTATTGAGTCTAGAATATTCCTAAATATGCAGACTGTACCCCACAAACTCTGGGTGGTGCTTTTGATAGATTCTTTAGTCTCTTGTAGCTAGGTCCTATGATTGAATCTGGTTACCGCACAGCAATTCCAGGGTAGAACTTTTAGAGTCATTCCTTATGAAATGAGGGTGGACAGTTGATGTTTGTCCTTTTGCTTTTGTCCTCTTCCTCCTCTCTGTGTCACAGGACAAGTGGCTGCTATTGCCTCAGGAAATAGCTATTAGATAATATTAAGGAATTCTTTAATGTTCCAATATAAGGGGACTACAGTTATATTTTTATCATCCTCTCTTCTTGGGTCATCCCCCTCCCATCTTTTCATTCATTTGTCAGCTGGCATACAAAGTGGTGATTTCCAGTGTGTTATTTTCATGTATCACTATACTGTGTATCTATTCATGTCCGCATTCTCCCTCTTGCTGATCACCTCCTACCCCTGAAATAGTTCATCCCTTCAGCTTCTGTCACTTAGATCCCATTATTCTCTCTTAGTCTTGTGTTTCAGAGACAGAAATTGAAGTAGTTATGAACAAAATGACATCTGGGCTTCTGTTCCAAATACTTTGAGGGGAGAAATGGAACAGGACATTCATTATGTGATTTCCTCTGGTTTTCTTTGTTTCAAATTATCCTCTTAAGTAATGAAATAACCCACAGAGAGTAGCATTCTACTGAACAGTAGCTGGTGGAATCAGGCAGCATAAAGACAAATGCCACTGATGATGATGGGTTTCTCTCCTCCAGGGAGCACAAAGGAACCACAACAACATGCTAGTGAGTCCATCAGAGTCCATGACTGTCTAGCGGGGTCCATGGATAACTATAGTGAAGGATGGAAGCCAGCCCCAGTCCATCTTTTCTTTATTGCTAACCATAGAAAGGCTCACTGTAAGTTCCTCTTTGGCTTCTACATTTCAGTGGTAGAAATGGGTGGGGGGCACTTGTGGCAGCTACTAAAACGGAGCAGTTTTGCTTCTTCAATGTGAAAATAGCTTTGGAGTCAAAAGTTTCCATTTCTTTGAGACATAAGCCTGGTGCACAGACTTCAAAGAGTAACCTTAATGTAGACAAATGCCTTCCTTCATTTCTGCTGGCTGGGGGACAGAAATGTGGGGTCTACCTTTCTGTAGAATATGGAAATATGTTAACAACATCAACAGTCAAATACAGGGTCTTGAACAAGAGAATGATGGTAGGCTTATACAGTAAAAGGGGGTATTTTTTAAATGATGTTTATGAAGAATTTGTAACAACACAGAAAGCTCTTGTGTCACCATGTGAAGGGGAAAACTTCACGACACAAAACTGTGTCTTCTATATAATAATGTAAAACATAACTGTTTGGAAACACCTTCATTCTCATTTGTAATTAAACAAAGTTGATGACATTCAGAATTATTCCTCTGTCTTCTATTAAGGTTACAGAATATTTGTGACATAGGAAACCTGAATTTAAATAACATATCAGTGTCTTGAAAAATCTATGATTTTAATCAAGTTTTCTTATATCAGATAGATAAAACAAAATTCAAATATATAAAATTATATTGAGGTGAATTACACCTTTGTTTTTACTAACCTCTATTTTCTGAATTTTTTATTATAGTAAAATAGATATAAAATGAAATTAGCAATTTTAAAGATTTATTTATTATTATTATTATTATTATTATTATTATTATTATCTGTATATTCCTGTGTCTGTGTGAGGGTATGTGCATATGAATGCAGGTGCCTTCCGAGACCAGAAGCAAAGGCCACCCTGAAGCTGGAGTTACAGGTAATTGTAAGTCACCAGATATGGATGCTAGGAATCAAACTAAGGTCCTCTACAAAAGCAGTCCACTCTCTTAACCACTAAGCCATCTCCCTAAGCCCAAGACTTAGCACCTTTGAGACCACAGTTCAGTAACATTAAGCACACTCACATTGTCGTGCAACTATCACTATCATGTCCAGACTGAAATCCAGTAGCTTCTTCAATTGTGAGTAAGCTCAGTCAGTTATAATAAATTACCCATAACTGTGATTCTGGGACCAATAGAAACTAAAGCTATTTCATAACAATATTACATCTGTGAGTAGGTATATGAAAATATTGTTCATGTTTGAAATTAGAATGTGATTACATGCATCACTCAAAACTTTTAAAAATAAAAACTCTTAAAAACTTGTAAAAATATAAGATGACTAAATTGTCTCTTAAAAACAACCTCAACCATGTTATAATATAAAATATTTTCTTGGAAATCCGTCTATTCTGTTTTGTGTACTTCAAAACACTGTTTTACAAAGGAATTGATAGGTTTCGTCAGACCACCAAAGAGGTTCACAGGATTAAAAAAAAAGTGTTAAGACATTCTCAGCAGATACATTCTTGACAGATGGACTAATTAAAGTAATAGCTACACTCAGTACATAGTAATGGCTGACTAACAGGTGTCTGTGGGGTCTCAGAACTCTCTCCAATTTTTCGTTGGTGCTGTTATACATCTAAGAGAATATGACACCGCCTCCATCTGGCCCTATGCATTTAGTCATTAAGATAAAGTTATTTGTGTCTTTTCTTTAACAAATGGTACATTTGGGATCTCAAGAGCTATCTAGGAGTGAGTTACTGTTGGAAAGGAAAACGGCAGAGGCTCAAGACAGAACAAAGAAGAAAGACTGATGGAGCTGATGGGGGAGCCTACTGCGATGGCTGATCAGCATCACGCTGAGTGAAAGGAGCCAGGCACGGAAGAACAAATACTGCATCCCCTCACTCCTATGTGGAATCTAAACAAATAGAATGGTGGCTTCCAGAGTTGAGGTGAGCCGAAGGAGAGATGTTGGTCAGACAGGAAGAGTCAGTTCAGGAAGTCAATAGCACTTGTTAACTGTAAAATGGCAATGTAGTATATAGTTGAAATTTGCTAAGACTAGATTTTGAAAATTATTATGTGAAGTAATACAGATGTTAATCAGCTAGTTTTGACCATTCTTTGGAATATACAAGTATAAAAACATCTGCTGCACACAATACACACAATTTTTCAATTAAAATTTTAAAATTGAAAACATAAACCCATTAATGATATAGGGCAGGACTCACTGAAGAAAGCCAAGACTTTCCAAAGCCTGTGAGCAAAGGCGAACCTGTCAATCCCGGCTATTCAGGAAGCTGAAGCAGGAGGATTTAAGTTCAAGGCCAGCCTAGGCAACTTAGTGAGACTCTTGTCTCAACATAAAATCCAAAATGAGGATTGTGGATATAGATCAATGAGTGATTGATTGCCTAGCAAGTACAAGGGTCTCCCTATGTTCAATCTCCAGCACTAAAAAAAAAAAAAAAAAAAAAAAAAAAAAAGCCTGATGAATATTTTTCAAACACACTTTTTATCAAAAAGTAGACAAAGAAACCCATATGTAATGAGAGGTATAAAACTCAGCAACAAGGCAGTATGAAAATCCTGGAGTGGAGTGTAAGAAATCAGCCCTGTTTCCCAAAAACGCAATCTATCCCTACAATGCATTTCTTCTCTTACTCACATTTAATGTGGGATAGCACTGAGGCCTCTAGCCTCTCTGTGCAGCTAAGACCCCTCCCTAAACTTCATGTATTCCCTAGTATTCAGATAAAAATCGTTCCTAATGAAAAAAAAAAAATCTAGAGTCACAATCTCTGAGTTGCCTTGTGTTCCTGCCCGCACAACAGAGGTCTACAGAGCTGGATCTCAGTGCCCAAATACAAATCCTTTATTATGCGGGATCAGCCAGGAGACCTGACCCATGAGGAACCAATCAGGTTGTTTTCCCTAGGAATCTGAAGCTGGGATCCACAATTCCTTGTGCTTTGAAGTATGAGCACGTAAGGAAGGGTGGAGAGGTTACAAGTTGGCCACATCTGAGGATATGCATGCTGATGCTGACAGCGAATGCTCCTTAGCTCAAGGCAGAACACGGGCATGCAGAGAAAACCAGATACATCTGCAGTTCAGCTGCACCTGTTGCCTAGCACCTTCTTATCCATATTCCAGAGACCCCCTATAGACTGGGGTTGATCCACACAGGGCCCCAATTGTGGAGTTTCATGTTTCTCCCTCTGGCAGTGGTGGTTTGAAAGGAAATGGCCCCCAAAGGGATTGGCACTACTAGGAGGTGTGGCCTTGTTGGAGTAGGTGTGGTCTCGTTGGAGAAAGTGTGTCACTGTGGGGACAGGTTTTGAGGTCTCCTTTGCTCAAACTTCCCTCAGTGTGACTGTCAGTCTGTTGCCTGCAAGATGTAGGTAGGACTCTCAGCTATTTCTCCAGCACCACATCTGAATGGAATGAACCTGGGAAATTATAATCAAGCCACCCCCAATTAAATGTTTTCCATATAAGAGTTGCCATGGTCATGGTGTCTCTTCACAGCAATAATAACCCTACCTAAGACAGGCACCCCCACAGGGAAGCTCATGACCAGATCCCCTTCAACACCCCACCAGTCCCTTCAGAAAGGAAAGCACAAAGTAAGCATCCAGCCAGCGTACCTCAGGTCTGCCAATGCTTCTGCGGACCCGCGCTCCAACCCCCTCTGACTGCTCCCGGCTCAGCACTGAGAGAGTAACCTTCTTAGAGGATCCCATTTTGAAGTCTATAAAGAACGTTCTGGTGGGGAGCTGTAGAAATGGGGAACAAGATGAAAGACAACGAAATAAATCACAATGGAGGGAATATCTACAGACTATAAACGAAGAATATTAACAGTAGACTTTCCCCAAATTCTAACAGTTGTAATTTATTGAGTACTTACTGTGAACAGAGGCTAGATTAGGTGATTTTTAAAACACAATGATAGTGGACATGTATTAGTATCTACCAGGTACCTGAACCCCATTATTAGCAGTTACCTCATGTAATCCTGCAGTCATTGTGTACAAAGGCTAGCGATTACAACTCACAGGAAGAACTTAATAGAAATATATAAAGAACATTGTATATGCTTTGCTTCAATGATGTCTCTTGACCTCCCACACCACCACACACCCCTCAGTGGCCACCCCATGCGGTAGGGTGGAAGATGAAATTGGGGGTTCTTTTGGTGTCACTGGAAACAAAGAGAAAAAACAAGAGGTATATGAATCTCACCAGAATATGACGGTGTTGGCATTGAAAGAGATCTTCAAGGGTGACTGGATTCAGTTACCCCTGTATCTCTAACGTCCATGGCCATTAAAAAAAAATCATTCCTCAGTAATTTCAAGCATGTCTACAATGTGTTTTTTTAATCATATCAACCCCTCATTCCCCTCCAATTCCTTTCAGACCCCCATCACATCTCACTGCCAGCTTCATGCTGTCTTTTCCGTGGCCTACTGAGTCCAAGTGGTGCTGTCCTTGTTGTGCACATGCGTGTTGGGTCCTCTCCTGAAGCATGGGCATCCTAACAGGGGTCACTTTCTTCAAGAAAACTGGCACTCCCTACCCTAGCCGCCTCCAAGTGCCAAAGTTTCTCAGTTAGGGGTGGGAGTGCACAAACCTTCCTCCCATCTGTGTTGGAATTTTGACTGGCTTGATCTTATGGAGGTATTGTGCATGCAATTTTTTAGACAGGAAACCTTTGAACTTCCTAATAAAGTCCTCTAAAGCACAGAGAAATTATATATGAATGCCCCCCACAAGGGAACCCATGGTTCGGAAACAACCTATATACTACATTTATTATTCAAGAGGGTTTCATTATGTATTGAAGATATCTAAGCCCTAACTGAGGAAACATCCCCGGACCCCCTTTCTATCTTCAGGGGTTTGCTGATAAGTAATCCTAAATCCTCAGATCTGTTCTCCAAGTGAACTCTAACCAATCCTTCAAAGATTTCTAATGAAGCCAAGAGAAGTGTTTTCACAAGATGACGATTCTGGAGCTGGACACCTTAGATTTCTATCCCAGCTTTGCCACATTCCAGCCTGCTTTCACTTTGGACTCTCTGTGCCTCAGCTTTTCCATCTATAAAATGGGATTAAGAAATGTCTACCTCAAAGGATTCCAACAGTGCTATGGGAAAGTGATCCGCTCTTATTTATAGGGACTTTACACAGGAGCACCCTCCAGTTAGTAAAGGCAGATCCTAAAATGTACCCTCTCTAGCAGACAATCAATATACACCTATTGGGCCATAAAATGTGGGGCACAGAAACGAACTTCTGAATACAGGCCTGTCATCATTCAGACATACTCAACTATTAAGTAGTTTTGCCTCCACTTGGATTTTCTGGGTCCTTCCAGACTCCCACAGTTAGATACTACACACACGAACAAGGATGAGGAAGTTAGCTAATTACAGTGTTTTGTCAGGAGAAAAGCCAAGCTGTGGTCCTTTCACCAAATCTCGGTGCTATTTAAGTAAGCATCTTCCTCCCTCAGCTCCCCGAGGAGCCAGTAGTAGGCTGGGAAAGGAAGCATCATGAAATCTGGTCCGGGCATCTCCCGCCCCCCCCAACACACACACACACACACACACACACACACACACACACACACACACACATCACCCTCGCGGGGGGTCGGGAGGAGGTGTCCCCGGCCACTCACTCCGCTGTAGCTCAGGCCCAGGAGGGAAACCGCGGCCGCTGTCGAGTCTCCGCAGCGTCAGGGACACAGCACAGGCAGGTTTTGCAGAGCGCCGGCCGTCAGTCAGCGTGACTCAGCACTCTGTTGTGGGGCCTCGGGGAGGCGGGAGTCTCTAGGTCCCAGGGGCCTTGGACCGGGATGACACTCCCTTTATTTACCCTGGGTTTGGATTCTCTGACTCCACCTCTCTGGGTCTGCCTTTTGACCTTCTATCCAAAGAGTGATGCGCACCCCGGCCTCTTGGGGGCGCGCTGCCCGCCCCCATGTGTGCGATGCTTCCGTGCTCTGTATACCCCTTGACTGACTTGGAAAACCTGTTTTCGCTCCAGTCAGCTTGTCACCCAACCCGTTGGCTCTTTGAACGAGAATGTTTGCTAGCCACTTGTCCTGTTTGGGGCAGGTGACTCAGCCTCTCTGTGCATCAGATTTGCCCGCCGTGAAATGAGAGTGGTGAAGATAATAGTATCACCATTGGAGGCTTGTAAAGAGAACAAAATGAGCCTGACTCCTAGGTGCTACATACACAGTTATTTCTCATAAATACGCTCCTTGCTGTTTGCCAGTGAGAACGGGGCCAGGGCCAGAGCAGAAGCAGGAGCCAAAACATCTCCGTTCCTGCCGAAAGAGAAGGCATACTCTAATAGGTAGACATGTGATCAAGGGCTTGGATTTTGTTGGGATGGAGGGAGAAGGCATTGGACAGTTGCCCTCAGTAGGATGAGGATGTGTACCCAGCCAGGAAGCAATCCAGTTTTCCTAGAACTTTTAATCAGCGGGCAGGCGAGGCTGCCATTCTGAATGTTCTTTT